TGGTTACAGTGGGCCTTGGGCAAGACCCAGTGCTGTGCTGGCTTCAGGTCTGACCAGGTGCACCCATGTGGTGGTGGTCACCTGGGTGCTTGCATCACCACATCCCCAGTCCCAGGTGGCTCAGCACAAAGAGCAAGACTTTGTTTGTTTGGAAGAAACTAAAGAAAAAGAACAAGAGTCTTTGGTTGGTAATCCAGAGAAACCTTCCAGATCTTATCCAAGACCATCAAGGCGGTACCTCCATGAGTAGGCAAAAACCACAGCATTATTGAGCTTGGGGCCCAAGTCCCTTCGAATATCTGGAAAGCCTCCTCAAGAAGGACAGGCACAAACAAGCCCAGACTGCAAAGACTACAATAAATACCTAACTCTTCAAGGCCCAGATCTAAAAGCATCAAGATCATTCAGGAAAACAGGATCTCATCAAACGAACAAAAGAAGGCACCAGGAACCAATCCTGGAGAAACAGATACATGTAATCTTTCAGACAGAGAATTCGAAATAGTTGTTTTGAAGAAACTCAAAGAAATTCAAGATATCACAGAGAATGAATTCGGAATTCTATCAGGTAAATTTAACAGAGATTGAAATAATTTTTTAAAATCAAGCAGAAATTTTACAGTTGAAAAATGCAATTGGCATACTGAAGAATGCATCAAAGTCTCTTAATAACAGAGCTCATCAACCAGAAGAAAGAATTAGTGAGCCTGAAGACAGGTTATTTGAAAATACACAGTAAGAAAAGACAAAAGACAAAAGAATGAAGCACACCTAAAAGATTTAGAAAATAGCCTCAAAAGGGCAAATCTCAGAGTTACTGGCCTTAAAGAGGAGGTAGAAACAGAGAGATAGGGGTAGTAAGTTTATTCAAAAGAATAATAACAGAGAACTTCCAAAACTTAGAGAAAGTATCAACAACATTCAAGTACAAGCAGATTTAGCCCAAAGGCGACTACCTCAAGGCATCTAATAATCAAACTCTCAAAGGTCAAGGATAAAGAAAGGATCCTAAAAGCAGCAAGAGAAAAGAAACAAGTAACATACAATGGAGCTCTCTAATACATTTGACAGGAGACTTTTCAGTGGAAACCTTACAGGCCAGGAGAGAGTGGCATGACATATTTAAAGTGCTGAAGGAAAAAAAAATTTATCCTAGGATAGCATATCTGGTAGCAATATCCTTCAAGCATGAAGGAAAAATAAACAAAAGCTGAGAGATTTCATTAACACTACACTTGTCCTACAAGAAATGCTAAAGGGAGTTCTTTAATCTGAAAGAACAGTATGTTAACAAGCAATGAGAAATCATCTGAAGGTACAAACCCACTGGTAATAGTAAGCACACAGAAAAACAGAATATTTTAACACTGTAATTGTACTATGTAAACTACTCCTATGTTCAGTAGAAAGGCTAAATGATGAACCAACAGGAAATCATAACTACAACAACTTTTAAAGACATAGAATTTTTCAAGACAATACGAACTAAAGAGAAACAACAAAAAGTTAAAAAGTGGGGAGATGAAGTTAAATTGCAGAGTTTTCATTAGTTTTCCTTTTGCATGTTTGTTTATGCAATCAAAGTTGTCATCAGTTTAAAATAATGGGTTATAAGATAGTATTTGCAAGCCTCACAGTAACCTCAAATCATATAATAGGCTGGGAGCTGTGGCTCACGCCTGTAATCCCAGCACTTTGGGAAGCTGAGGCAAGTGGATCACCTGAGGTCAGGAGTTCAAGGCCAGCTGGCCAACATGACAAAACCCTGTCTCTACTGAAAATACAAAAATTAGCAGGTGAGGTGGCACGAGCCTGTAATCCCAGCTACTCAGGAGGCTGAGACAGTAGAATCACTTGAACCCGGGAGTCAGAGGTTACAGTGGGCCGAGATCACACCACTGCACTCCAGCCTGGGCAACAGAGAGACTCCATCTCAGGAAAAAAGAAAAAAAAAAGATGGATACAAAAAATAAAAAACAAAAAATTATATCACCAGAGAAAAATCACCTTCACTAAAAAGACAGGGAGGAAGGAAAAAAGGAAGAGAAGACCACAAAACAGCCAGAAAACAAATAACAAAATGGCAGGAGTAAATGCTACTTATCAATAACAACACTGAATGTAAATAAACTAAACTCTCCAATAAAAAGGCACAGAGTGGCTGAAATGGATTTAAAAAAAGCAAGACTCAACAATCTGTTGCCCTTAAGAAACATACTTCACCTGTAAAGGCACAGATACATAAACTGAAAATAAAGGGATGGAAAAGGATTTATATTCCAATGGAAACCAAAAAGGAGTAGGAGTAGCTATACTTAGACAAAATAGATTTCAAGACAAAAACTATGCAAAGAGACAATGAAGGTCATTAATGATAATAGGAGCCAATTCAGCAAAAGGATATGATTGCAAATACATGTGTATCCAACACTGGAACACCCAGATATGTAAACCAAACATTAACATTACTAGAGTTAAAGAGTAAGATGTCAATACAATAATAGCTGGAGACTTCAACACCCCACCTTCAGCAATGGATGGATCTCCCAAACAGAAACTCAAGAGAGAAACATTGCACTTAATCTGCACTATGGAACAAATGGACCTAATAAATATTTATGGAACATTTTATCCAAAGGATGCAAGATATACATTCTTCTTCTCAGCACATAGATCACTCTCAAGGACAGACCATATGTTAGGCCACAAAGCAAGTCTTAAAACATTCAGAAAAACTCAAATAATATCAAGTATCTTCTCTGACCATAATGGAATAAAACTAGAAAACAATAACATGAGGAATTCTGGAAACTATACAAACACATGGAAACAATATGCTCCCAAATGAACAATGGGTCAATGAACAAATTAAGAAGAAAATTTAAAAATTTATTGTAATAAATAATGGAAACACAACATATCAAAACCTATGGGATACAGCACTAAGAGAGAAATTTAGAGTTATAAGTACCTACATCAAAAAGAAAAAAAACTTCAAATAAATAATCTAACAATGCACCTTAAAGATTATAAAAGCAAGAGAAACCTGAAACAAAAATTAAAAGAAATAATAAAGATCAGGACAGAAATAAATGAATTTGAAATGAAGAAAACAATACAAGAGATCAATGAAACAAGAAGTTGGTTTTTTGAAAAAATAAACAAAATTGACAAACCTTTACCCAGACTCACAAAGAACAAAAGGGAGAAGACCCAAATGAATAAAATCAAGGATGAAAAAGGAGACATTACAATTAATATCACGGAAATTCAAAGGATCATTAGTGGCTACTGTGAGCAACTATATGCCAATAAATTAGAAAATCTAGAAGAAATAAATTCCCAGACATATACAATCTGTGACCATTGAAGCATGAAGAAATCCAAAACCTGAATAAACCAATAACAAGTAATAAGATTGAAGCTATAACTCATTATTAATTAGAACTTGTCTCCCAGCAAAGAAAAGCCCAGGACCTTATGGCTTCACTACTGAATTCTACCAAACATTTAAAGAACTAATACCAATCCTACTTAAACTATTCCAAAAAGAGTGGAAGAGGGAAAACTTCCAAACTCATTCTACAAGGCCAGTATTATCCTGATACCAAAACCAGACACACATCAAAAAAAGAAAATTACAGGCCAATATATCTGATGAATATTGATGCAAAAATCCTCAACAAAATACTAGCAAACCAAATTCAACAAAACATTAAAAAGATTGTTCATCATGACCAAGTGGGATTTTTCTCCCTGCAATACAAAGATGGTTCACCATATACAAATCAATCAATGTGATATATCATATCAATAGAATGAAGGACAAAAACCATGTGATCATTTCAACTGATGCTGAAAACACATGTAAAGCATTCAACATCCCTTAATGATAAAAACCCTCAAAAAACTGGGTATAGAAGGAACACACCTCAACATAATAAAAGCCGTATTTGACAGACCCACAGCTAATATCATGCTAAATGGGAAAAACTGAAAGCCCTTCATTCAGATCTGGAACATGACAAGGATGTCCACTTTCACCACTACTATTCAACATAGTACTGGAAGTCCCAGCTAGAGCAATCAGACAAAAGAAGGAAATAAAGGGCAACCAAACTGGAAAGGAAGAAGTCAAATTATCCTTGTTTGCAGATAATATAATCTTATATTTGGAAAAACCTGAAGACCCCACCAAAAAACTATTAGAACTGATAAATTCAGTAAAGTTACAGGATAAAAAGTCAACATACAAAATATCAGCAATATTTCTATATGCCAACAGTGAACAATCTGAAAAAAAAAAAAATCAAGGTTTTACTCCTTAATGCTTCTTAAACATAGCATAAAACTTTATTTTTGGTAGATTTTAGTATCTTTGGTACACTGCACTGCATGTTACTTTGCATTCCAAAGAGCGATTCAACAGTCAAAAGACTATGAGGTTCTCGAAGGCAGGGACTATTCCTTATTGAAGACTCCATCCTCTGTGCCCTATACCCTGTGCTTAGTGGAAGTTTGGAGAGTTGATAAATAAATAAACAGAAAAATGTTTTTATCAGCCTCTGTGATCTTGAGGAACTCATGTAAATTCTAGGGACTTTATCATTTCATCATCTAAAAAACTGGAAAAAAAAATACTAACTCTGCCATTCTCACAGGATTGTCAAGAATTAATAAGCAAAATTTAACAGAGAAGCTTGCAAATTCTAAGGAATTGCACAAATATAAACTAACAATTTCTCCCCTTTAGTCCTAGTCTCATATTTAAAGTCTCCTCATGTAATGATGTCTCCAGATATCTCCCACTCTTCTTTCTGATCAGGTGTCCATAAACAAATATTAAGTTTCTACAGAAATATATATTATCATACAGAAACATGACTGTTCACATGTCACTAAAATCAGCAGGGATAAGTTAAAGCTAAATTGTAAAACTATGCCTATTACAACATTCAAAAAGTTATTTTATACAAAGTAAAATATAAAATTTAACTCACCGCACATTTTTCCACTTTGCCAGCATTATTGGCCCATTTCACTAAAGCTAATAATCGAACGAAGAGTTGGCGTGTCCGGCTAGCAAACTGCACTATTTCTATTTTCCTATAAAATAAAACAACGCTTAATGAACCAACATATTAGAAAGAGTATTTCACAATTTATTTCAACCGAGGGGGGAAAAAAAAATCAACCTTTGCTTACAACCACTACGAAATGAGCCACCTAAAATATTTAACTAAATATTAACTTTTATCACATTTTGTATACTATCTGTATGTTTTAGTTTTCACTTCAGAACAATAAACCCAATAGAATGTTTTAGCAATAAATCACATTTTTTAATTCATTTTATATTGTAACGAAAGTTGTTTACAAAAATGTACTAAATTTAGCATATGGCAGTATAAGTAAACTGGCTCACAGAAGGGATCAAATGAGGAGTTATGAATTATAAGTTCATAACTGAAATTAGGAGTAATTTAATTAGTAAGTAGTAACCCTTTTAGTAAGTGAAAAGAATTGAAATTGATCTTTACCAAAGCCTGAAACTGTATTCATTCTACAAAAGGGCACCATTTCCCATCCTGGACCAGCATGATTTTAAAGATTGAATAATTAAAGAACTTAAGTATGTAACTCTTTACCAAACTAATTTCAACGACAAGCTTGGATACATTAAAAAATATCCAAGTAAAGTTAAAGAAATTATGTTGAGTACCAAAAATAAAAGGTCTGTCCATATCTAGTTTTATCCTATACTCACTATTATTATTCCTTTTCCCTGAATACTCATCAGTACTTTTATCATCTCATCCTAAAGCCCCAAAAGCTTTACTTAAAGTTTATGTTGTCAATCAACGTGTTAGCTAGATCTCTCAACTTCATAGCAGCTACAAAACTTATTAATTATATCTTTCATGGTTTACTTTAAGATGCCGAAAAAAATATTCAACAAGCCAGGACTGATGACAGGACTCAGCAGGACACCAACCTCCCTCCAAGCAGACTCTGACCTATTAATCTTAGTACAGCTGTTCAATGACCTACAGATCCAATCCACATCTCTGCATCTTGCCAATGCCACCACCATGACGCAATGCACCAAAGTTCTTGCTGAAGTACAATCCTGACTGAAGGCTACAGAGGCTGGCTCCTACAGAGAGCATACATAGCCCACAAGCACCCTAAAAGGCTCTTAAAGATCAGCCAGCAATATGATTAGTGGTACTATAAAGGGAAGAATCAAGGGCATAATTATGACTCTTTGCCAGTGTCCATGAAAGATCATAAGACAAGATTGAAACACAGCAGAAATGTTAAACACATTAAGATCCGGGAGATCTCAGGGATGGGAACCTCCGTACCTTCTTCACTCTAACTGAGCAATGGCTTACAGAGGATGCAAGGTCTCTGCTCCTCTCACAGAGCAAACACACTTGTCTATTATTAATTCAGTTGCCCAAAGGCAGTCCTCTACTATAATGGAAATGTTCCCCTTTGTAAGCGATAGTAATGCAGTTTTCTGACACCATGTTGTCTCAAGTGATAGGGAACATGAGTCAGTTTTCCAAAGGCCCAGTTTCCCTTCATATCCCGGATTGGACAGAACACATCCTTGACTTAGCATTTTCCTCCTTCAATACTGACCGGCCAAACCATAACACAGGTTGCCTTAATTGTCTCTTCCACTTCTACCTTTTTGATCCATGTCTAATTTGATCAGAAGGTAAGCTGGGGTTGAAGAGTGCTGCCACTAAGAAATGCTAAAAAGTTGGCCGGGCACGGTGGCTCACACCTATGATCCCAGCACTTTGGGAGGCCGAGGTGGATGGATCACGAAGTCAAGAGATCAAGACCATCCTGGTCATCATGGTGAAACCCCACCTCTACTAAAAATACAAAAACTAGCTGGGCATGATGGTGTGCACCTGTAGTCCCAGCTACTCGGGAGGCTGAGGCAGAATTGCTTGAACCCAGGAGGCGGGGGCTGTGGTGAGCCAAGATCGCATCATTGCACTCCAGCCTGGGTAACAAGAGCAAAACTCCATCTCAAAGAAAAAAAAATGATAAAAAGCTGCCAAGTGACTTGGTATTTAAAAAAAAAAAAAAAATCAACCGAGGAGCTTAAGTAGTGCCAAAGACATGGTCAAGTAGTCTACACTGTAGTTACAATTTAAATCTCCAACATATGATTTATTTGGAACTTTAATGTAGCTTGTTCCTTTGGCCTCTGGAAACATACTAGCCTTGTGTTAAATCTTAAGCTCCAACCTCCAACTGCACCAAAATGTTAACTATGTAACAGTAGGAGAAGTAGGCAACTATCAATTCTCTAAAGTACTTAATAGCATCATTGTAGCAAGTGATAAATTAGCAGCCAACTTTCTAAAGCCAGTCTGCTGCTCCTCAGCACTTTCTTTTACAGACTATATTGTATGTCTTAGTATCACCCTTAGGGACTTGATCAGGTCAGTCACTCAATAAAGGTTTGTAGAATAGAAGATCTAGAACTGGTCCCACGCCAAGTATTGCTAAGGGTGAGGAAATTACATTTCCTAGGACTCCTTAAACACATGGTGTAAAAAATCATTCTAGACTCTTTGGGCCTATGTTTCTAATCCACAGCCCTACACCACCCATACCTACATACCAACACTCATATAGATTGATCAATAAAGAGACTTTAAGGTTTTTTCATACTCACCTTTCCACATCAGATTTCCTTGGCAGTCTAAGAAGAAAAAAAAAAAAAAAGAAAGAAAGTGATTAAATACATGCACACCTTCATTCTAAAGTGATAATAATCTTTACTTTTACTCTATTAAATATGTTAATGTTTCAGAAAAACTGGGTAAACAGCTACTACAGGCTCATATGGCTACCTATTCTTTTTTAGATTTGGCTGTAAGGCAAAAACCAACAAAAGAACATTTCTCTCCATTCAAAATGCTTCAAAACATATTGCATGAACCTCAAACGTTTAAAAAACCCAAGTTCCACATTAGCACACTATATCATAGGGTATCAGAGAAAAGATTACTTTAAGACCAAAAGGGTCACAGATGCAGAAGTACTTACTACTTGGTTGCCAGCCTCCCTGTATCCAATGGATACCTGTTTCCAAGCAATAATCCCTTCACATTGTGTTATGGTGGACAAAATTAGAAGTTAAGCATACAAAAGGGCCAATGTATATCAAGGGTTTTACAGTAATTGTGATGTTGCATGGTGGTTAGATGAAAAAAATTTTATTGCTTTTAAACAGCTCTAATAGGATTTTTATATTTCTTTTTGTTAGTCCTCCAATGCTGATAGCCAGCAACCAATGTCAACTTCTTCCCTGACAAGTTAGACCATTTAACACTCACGTCCACTGATGCCTAGAAAGATCCTTAATGCCTCCTGAATTGCCACATTCTGTTAACCTCTATCCCATGGTCCAAGATTTAATGGCCTAAACAACTCTCATGCCTCTCTCACAGCTAATCAGTTCTTAAAGCATACTCACTCAGCCACTCAGATTGTCTCCCACCCTTGTGCCACAGGAAAAGAAAAACTAAAACTACTTTCAGAGGTTCAAAGTACAAGGAGGAGAAAATATTAAAATGAGCTCTGGCTTATAGTTACAAGCTATTATTAGGGTAGACAGTGAGATGGGAGTTAAAGTTATGTTCAGGATGACAAAGCGAACTAGGTAGTGGCTGGAAGAGCCAGCAGAACCGAAGGATAAAGCAGAAATTACGGCCCTGCTAGAAGACTGCAAATAAAGACAGCTACTGGCAAGTTCCTCTACATGTCAAACCTCCTGAGAACACTCCTTGAGAAGCCACAGCCCTTGTTTTCACCTCAAGGGAGGGAGAATGAGAAAGACCTATGAGGGAGAGGAGGAGTAGAGTCTCTGGGGATAGAAAGAACAGGAATCATTGTTCCCGCTTCTTTTACCTGCCTCAGAGACCCCAAAAGGACCATCTCATGTCAGAAGTGGTATCATATCAGGGATAAAAGACAGGCTTTGCTGCCTGCCTCCCCTTTTCCCCATTCCTCCTAATCTATTTGAAATTCTTTTATGGATAAGAAAGCTACTATTTAGGGTAAAAGCCCTAAAATGCAAATGCTGGCAAGTAAGGCATAGAAACTTATTTACACCAAAGCACAATAAGACAAGTTTACATGACTGAGATCCTGGCATTTTCTGATTTTAATTAAAAGAATTAAAAAAAAAAAGGGGGGGCCAGGTGCGGTGGCTCACTCACACCTGTAATCCCAGCACTTTGGGAAGCTGAGGCGGGCAGATCGCTTGAGACCAGGAGTTTTGGACCAGCCTGGGCAACATGGTAACCCGCATCTCTACAAATAATACATATTAGCCAAGTGTGGTGGCAAGTAGTCCAGCTACCTGGGAGGCTGAAATGGAAGAATCATCTGAACCCTGTTAGTCGATGCTACAGTGAGCCATGATGGTGCCACTGAACTCCAGCCTGGGTGACAGAGAAAAACCCTGTCTCAAGAGTAGAACCTAGTTCTCTAAAAAGTCAAGGCAGAGAGTAAACTCTAGGAAGAGAGTATGTATGTTAAGGAGGAAGGGAGGTGGACAAGCAGAAGGAAAAAATCCAGAAATCTGAGGCGAAAACAAAACCACCTAAGTTGCCAACACTGTCCTTTTTACCTTCACTAGTTCACAGACAAGCATCAAATGTTACTGAAATAACTGTTTCCCTAAAGACTCAAAGTATACCTAGGACACTGGCTCTACATTAACATAGTAATCCTGACAGTTTCTAGGGAAAATACACTATTTAGGAACTTCCATGGTAAGTTCCCAAACTAATTTTATTAATAATTACCACAATCAAAATTGAAAAAAGT